AAGAAAAAAATTAGTGAATTACAGTGAAAAACTTGAGTGACTAGTCCCTTTTGAGAGTAACCAACTTTGCTGTTTTAAAAATTAAAGATATGAAATGGGTCACACATCATATAGTTGGGAAAATAAAAATACTTACTTTTAAAAAGTATGCAAATTCCAACTGCAGGGTATCGAGTATACCCTTGGGACCTCCTAAGACTCGTTTTTTTCTCACTGTCAGACACTGTCTTCACGACCACAGTCATCAGACTTGTAGGCCCTGACGAAGAGAGCATGCCTCAGCGCACGCTTTGGCTAAGGAGTGCTCCACCCTGTGGTCCAACCTGTGATCCACCATATGGTCCACTCTGACTCTCCGGTCGACCCTCCGGTCGACCCTGTGGTTCACCCTTAGAGCCAATGCGTGGTGGTGCAGGGCCTCGCTGGCCTCTGACGGCGCCTCTACGTAGCCGCTCTCGTCGCTCACGTTGTCGTCAAAGTCGTCCCCCTCTGCTAGGACATCCCGCTCAGCACGTCCTGCGAGCGCCATGGCCAGAGCCGCGCCCTCCCAGGACGAAACCATGCCGTCGTCGTGGTCGGGGAGGTGCTGCGACGTCTTGAGCGCGTCCGCACCCAGGCAGAAGTCCTCGCCGGAGTCGGTGCGGCTGTGCGAGTGTGTCAAGGAGGTGGTGCCGTCCGAGGAGATGCTCTGCAGACTACTGGAGCCCTCGTCACTCTCGGCGGTGTCCTCGGCGTCCAGGAGGTAGGTGCGCGCCTTAGGGCCGGCGGGGCCGGCGGGAACCCCTGCAGGGGGCTGGTGGTGGTGCAGGGGCAGAGGGGGCTCCCGCGCGCCGGGGGGCGCCGGGTCTGGGTCAGGCACCTCCTCGATCGAGTTGACCCTGACGACGGTGAGCGTCTCGCGGCGGGGGTCCTCGCGAAAGGGGTCCTCGGGCTCCTCGGCCTCCTCGGACAGCCGGGCGGCGATCTTGCGGCGCAGGCTCTCGCGGAAGCGCTGGCGCCGCGCGCCCGCGAGGCGCTCCTCGCGCAGGAAGCGCGCCACGGCGTGGGGGTGGCCGAACACGAGCACGCCGCCGGCCTCGTCCTCCTCGGCGACCTCCTCGATGGAGCTGAGCTTGGGCGCCGACTTGGAGCGCTCGAGCGGCGGTCGGTAGTTGGACGCGCCCGTCGACAGGAGCAGCTTGCGCTGCGGCAGCGAGGGGTTGTCGTGGAGGGCGTTGGCCAGCGACAGGCGCGCCTGCTCACGGCTCTGCTTGTCCCTCCGGAACTCGAGCAGCGCCAGCGCCAGCCGCTCGGTGAGCTGCTGCGCCATGCGGCGCGCCTGGTCCTCGCGCGCGCACAGCACCGCGTGGCAGCGCAGCTCCTGCTTCAGCTTGCGGCCCTCGTGGCGGTACACCTGCAACAACACACAGTCAGCTTCGTTAGCATCGTCGACGAGCCTCGGTATACCACGATATTTTGCGATACGTTGAATTATTTTGCGATACTGCTTTGGGGCCGTTCAGACCACGTGGAAAGTGGGGGGGGGGGGTGGATTCCAAATATTATGAGTTCCCACAAGGATCAGGACATTGGAGTCCACGTAGACCCCATGATATTTGTACCCCGGGGTAAAATTTTTCAAGCATGGAATATACTTGGATGGCAGTTAAAAACCTTCGGTATTCGTCACTAGTTTCAGATGCAACTACTGTAGCGCTGTCTTTTCTTTTGGCAAGTCACTCCGGGTCACTTGCATGTCGGTACTATAGCGTGAGACGGGAATGAACCTAAATCGCCGTGAGTGTAGGGGAAGGTGGGCTCGCAGACCAATCAGAGCACCCAATCATGTCGTCTTTAAACACACCCGGGGCCGAACCGCGGGCAAAGTTGTTATTTGTGGACGATTCCATAAAACTGGATAACACCGGCGCACGCCGGACCAAGGAAAGATGCTCTCTCTCTCTCTGTCTCTCTCGCCCCCCCCCCTTCCCCAAACCTGCCACAGCCAATCTGTCTATCCGCCGTGGCCATCGCCATCCGCGTTGCGTTCGTTCGGCCAATTCACGAATTTGTAGTAATAAAATCAAACACGCGTGTGGTAAGCTGAGAGGAAAAACCGGTCCTATGGGCTAGTCGGGGAGTTTCCTCGTAATTGCTCCCGCGGTCGGCGCCGCGTGTGAGTGTGTGCGCGCGCGTGTGTGTGAGAGAGTGCAGATGATTGTGAGTAAGTGTGTGTGTGTGAGCGTGTAGTGTAGGTCCGTCACACGTGTGCTCTGGTACTGACCCAGCAGAAGACCCTCGGGAAGGCGGCGGGCGCGGCGCAGTGGGTGATGCGGTGGCTCCAGTACTCGGTGAGGCCGTGCTCGCGCGTCGTGGCCTTGAGCCCGCTCCTCGTCACCGCCACCTTCATGTTGACGTCGGGCTTGTTGGACGCCGTGTAGTTCTTCCACAGCGTCGACAGCGGCTTCTCGGCGCAGCCCTCGCCTGCAAACATGACGGAAAACAGAGAGTTTTGAAAACGACTGTAAACGATGTGCACTTAAGTAATTCGGTCCACCTTAACACGCACTGAAAGGTCTTTTTTCACTTTGCAAAAAGACTTTTCTCTTATCGTAGTTTGACAGAGCAGCCACGCACTCTAAAGTGTCTTATAAGAACAACAGATTGTCCTCCGCGAGCGACTTACGGGTGGCCCCCGAGGGACTCGCCGCGCCAGCATGCCGTGCGTGAGGACTCTCCCCCTTCATTCCCCACCGCCTTCAATTTTGCGCCTGTGCTCCCCCCTCCCCCCACCCTCTTTGCACAATCGGCGCATTTGCATACTCGCAACGTCCGCGTCGCCGGGCTGCGGCTGCGCGACGCCCCGATCGCGCGGCCGCTCAACGCACGAGAGGTGCCCCCGGACCCCACCGGACCCCACGCACCCAGCCAGCTCGGCACCAGCCGGGCAAACGGGCTGTGGGCGCCTGGCGTCCACAGGGTAGGCAACGCCGCAGGGCACACCAGCGTGACAGGTCGGCCTATCGACCAGGCGCCTGAGCGCCTAGGGGCCACAGCGTAGGCAAGGCCGCAAGGCACACTAGCGTTACAGGTCTGCCTATCCTATCGACAAGGCGCCCAAGCGCCTGGCGGCCGCAGGGTAGGCAACGCCGCGAGGCACACCAGCGTGACCGGTCTGCCTATCGACAAGGCGCCTAAGCGCCTGGCGGCCGCA